AAGATTAAAACAATTTAACTAAAAAATAGCAATAAACAAGTCTAATCTCGTTATATTATACTCCCAATATAGGTAATTTAGAGTAGTTAATTATTTATTTAAATACATTTTAGAGTTCCTACAAATCTTCTAAATTTGTTTAACCCCCGAGAATGTAAATTATAAACGAGATTATTAGATTTTTAACAAAACATTTAAATAAATAAATTTATTTAAAAGGTATAACAATAGGTAATAAATAAATAACAATAAAATCCACCCATTTTGGCAATTCTTCAATCTTTTAATTTTTTAAAATTAATTTTATTTTTAAATTTTTCCCTTACCATTTCCAAATTATTGTTGTAATTATTAAATAAATTAAATAAAAGAGAAGAAAATTTTGTAAATAATGGCCAATTCTTAAATTTTTAAAAAAATTTATTTTTAAATTAAAAAACCCCTACAGAAAAAATGCTTTTTTGAAGAACAGAATTTTGTTCAACAGCAAAACAGGAAGCTAAAATTCCTTCAACAAAAATATCCCCACTCGTAGTTAAAGGGGCAAATATTCCTTTTTCTTTAATTAATTTAATTGAAATAATTGGTTGAATTAATAAAGACTTTTAAAAAAAAATAATTATTAAAAAAGTTCCTAGGAATTACTTGTTCATTTCCTCCTTCAATTTCAGTAAATAAACAATCCCCAATTTTAACATCTTTTGCAAATAAAATAGAAGAAATATCAAAAACTTTTTTTATATTAATTATTTTATTTTTAAAGTTTTCACAATTTCCTCCTTTATAAACGTAAATAAAATGTTTTTCTGTTATTTTTAAAATTCGGCCATCCAAAAGCTTTATTTGAACAAAATTGGATAACTGCTCTGGAACCTTTTGAAAATATAAATATTCTTTAGGTAATGAATGAGTAATTTAAAAAAAGTTTTACTACAATCACCCTCCCTTTTTCCATTCCCCCCCCCCTACCCCATACTTTCCATTATTTTTTTGTTATTCCATCCGCAAAAATATTTAACAAAACAATTAATTATTTATAAAACCTACTCTATGAATCCACCTTTCAATTTTACTCAAAACAATTCGAGAACGATTAGTTGAATAAATCTTTTTAAAAAAATACTAATTATTTTTAATTCCAAATTTAATTAATTACCCAATCCCCAACAGCCAATTTATCCATTCTTTTTAATTTTCCATTATCTAAACGTATTTTAGTATCTCCACTAAAACATTGAAAATAGGAAGAAGCGGGTTTTGTGTAATAATAATAATTATTGTAGCCACCACCCCCAGGATCATAATATTCTTGATTAGGGCCCCCACCGTAATTTTGTTCTTCATCTTCAATTATTTGGACTGGGGTATCTTCTGATAATTCTATTTCCTTTAAAATTAAAAAATTAAAAATTAAATTTTTTAACAAAAATATTTGTCGGAACAAGATTGAGTAAATTGAGGATTTCTTTTTTTTCCATTCTTATATATACCTCAACTAGATATTTTAAATTGATTGTATTTTATTTTTGGACCAGATTTTAAATAAAAAAATTGTAAAAATTTATTTCACCGCACACTGACGCCTGTACCGACTGTGACGGGTCATGTTACGATCACAAATAATTTTTTTCCTTTGTTGGTTAATTATTTGTTTTGATTTGGAATTTAATTGGTTTTCATTTAATTTTTTATTTTCTTTCTCTTCTTCTCTTTCCTCAATCTCATTTTCCATAAAAGGCCCTTCAATTACTTCATTATCTAAAATTATTTTTTTGTTTTTTTTATTATTTATTTGTTCATTAATTAATGGATTATGTTCTAATAATGGAGCTGCTGATAATTTATATGTCTACAAAAAAAAGAATTTTTCTAAAAGAAAATTAAAAATAAACTTCAATATTTATATGACTTTCCCCTTCGTGTTTGTATTTATTTTGGTTAGATTTTAATTGGTTTTTAAATTGTTTTGGTTTATTTAAAGGATTTTTAGTTGTTGTTGTAAAAACAAAAAGAGGGGAATTTGTTGTTGTTGAAGTAGAGGAGGCTAATTCGAATTTATGAATTAATTGGTTAGCTACATCCAAATCTACTGACAAAGAAAGTTTTTCTGGTCTAGGTAAACAAGGCATTCGATGGATAAATACTTGATATTTAGTAGATCTGTTTTTGAATAAATTATTTGTCTAATTAATTATTATAAGGTGATAATTAATCAAATATAAATTTATTTTTTGTTAACCTACCTTTCCTCCCCTCGATTATTTTGCCGTATATCACTAACATAATCGAATGCATATTGCCTTTTATTATCATTAGAGGAATCTTCAAAAAACACTTCCCCACCATAAATAATATTTCCTGGATTTATATTTGCAATACCTCTATCTAATTAATTTAAATTTAAATTAATATCCTCTCAAAGATTACCTTCAGAATTAACTAAACCCTCCCAATGACAACAACGAAGAAGTAATCTATTTTTGGAAAAAAAATATTTATTTTTATCAAAAATAAACACAAACGGTTTTTGATTATTTCCATTTTTCAAACTCGAAGAATAAGGTCCAATCCCTCCAACCCAATTATTTATTTTATTACAAGGACTACTTCCAAAACCAGTTTGGCATTTCTTTAAAATTAATTAAATTTAATTTTGTTTTTAAACTTACAGCAATTTGAGGTTTATACCAACTAGCCTCAAAATCATTTAAAGGTTTGGGTATTGTTGAAGTAAAGGATTTTCTAAAAAATCCATCAGGCTGTTTATTTACTCGATAAAAATTAGAATCATTTAATTTTTGAGGTTTTCCAAAAGAATTCCAACCAAAACAATTTGGTCGAGCACATCCTTTTTTTAATTAAATATTTTTAATAAAAAATATATTTTTGTATTTTTACCGAGAATTAAATGGCCGTCAGATAAAATCTTTGATTAAAATAGGGGAATTATTTAAAGTATTTTAAATAAACCTCTAAACTAAAAGGAATTGAAGTTTCCCCACAAAATGAACAAAAAATAATTTTTATTAAATTTAAGAGAAAAATTAAATTATTTACTATTTTCATATTAAATTTGCTTTAAAATTTAAAAAATATAATTTTAAAAGTACGAAAGAATTTTCTTTAATTTTTTCTTTAATATTTAATATTCAAGTATTAATTATAAAATAATTATTTATTTATTTATATACCGGATTAATTCATCAAAAAATATTTTTAAATATATTCAAGGTGGCATTTACTTAAATAATTCTGTTTATTCTTTGGATTATAGAAAAAATAACTACCAAACAAAATAACCGGCTACTCCTTGATTAAAAAAGTAAAAATCAAAATTGACCTAAATGAGATATTTGTGCGGATTAGTAAATGTTTTTTAATCAGTTCCGTTGATTTAAATTATTTTATTTAAATTTTTGAAATATTTTTCTAACAAAAAAATATTTAAATTAAATTTAAAAAATAATTTATAAGTTGTTAGTAAAAAAATTAAAAATAATTTTTTAATTGACAAAATATTTAAAATAATATTTAGTCAACAGTTCCTGCCTAAAATTTCTCTCTAAAATGGCAAATTAACTAATTGCTTGGTAAAAAAATAAACTTTTTTATCATTTCAAGTTTGTCATATTTATTTAGATTTGAATGTCTTTTATGTAAATTTTTTAATTTAAAAAAATTATCAAACTAAATAAATATTACTTAAATAAATACATTTTTAATTAATTTTAACTAAAATTTAATTAAAATATTTTTAAAAAATTTTTAGTATAAAAATCCTTGCAATTAAAATGTCAATATATTTCTTCATCCACTACTCGTCTAAATTCATCCATCGGTGCAACATTCGGCAAAGGTTAATTATTTTTACACCTTTATTATTTTGTTGTCTATGTTTTTATTTTAAGGCTAAATGTTTCGGCACCGCGTGCGTGCAAGGGAGCGAGTGAGACGGCGAGCACACTACGAGGAACTTAGAAACTTCCGAACAACACAAGCGTTCGACCAATGGTGGACGTCAGGGGAGCGAACTAATTGGAGGATCAATTCACGCCATCCTCACGTTAGTGGCACAGTCGAATATTGGACATGCTCGGTAAAAGACATTCAAAGAAATTCGAAAAATATTTTTTAAAAATGTTTTCAGTTTGTTGAAGGCCGTCGTCGTACTTGCCCTGCTCGTCTAAGAATAACCTTCGACAGGGATAAACGATTCGTCAGTGTCTGCAGAGCTAAAGACCGCCAACATTGTCATCCAGTTGTGGAGACACTCGTTCGTTTTCTTGACATTTGTTTGAGTGAAAAATACTTTTTTGTTTAGGTGAACGAGGACAGCGAAATCCTCAACATTCAACAAGTAGCGCCGTATAAAATGGAGACAGCCCGGATTATTCGTGTCACCACTATTGGATCTACTCTAAATTCGTGAAGTACTCGAACAAAACCAGACAAGATGAAGTCTACAACGGGTTCAAATAAAAAATTATGTGATAATTGTTTATATAATGTTTAGTGTTTCTATTGTATACTGTATATATAAAATTATATCTATTGTATATTAACTATAGCATAAAATACCTAACTAAATAACTAAATCACATTCGACCTTTAGTAAAAGTTGAAACACTATAAAGTTTATTTGAGTTAAAACGGTATTTTTTCACCGAAAAAGTTGTCTCACAAAGGAGACTTTGGGGGTTTATAACTCGGTCCACGGTACCATGCAGCAAAAGTGAAAATCTCGCAACTACCCGTCTGCAAAATTTCATCTCGAAGTCCCATGGATACCCCAAGCACTCTCCTTTGACAGTCTACATAATTCAAAATTCATTTAAATTAACGCATTTACATTTTGCCAATTTTGATATTTTCAAAGTATTTTTCATTGCAGCTTGTTCATCGCGATCATTTAATAGTTTTTTTAATTTTTTAAACCTAAACCCTTTTCCTATTTTTGAAAAAATCTCAAATATTGTTTTAGATATAAGATTGATTAATAAATGAGCCGTGGTGCTTTTATTGATGATGAATGTGAAGAAGATTTGGAAGAAATGGAAATAGATGAAGAAGAGGAAGAAGGTAATGATGACGCTGATTTTAGCTTTCGAGATGTTAGGGCATCATTACCTCAACGAAATCGTCAACAACCTTCTCAAAATAATATTTTAATACCTCCTGGACAGCGTGGGGCAGATCATATTGAAATGTTTCAATTTATAGAGCAAGGAGTTAATTATAGGTTTTTAATTTATAAATTAAAATATGTATAATTAAAAAATATTTAGTGCAAAAATTGTTGATTTATTATCAAAAAGTAAAAATATTGAACAATTAAAAAGAATGGAAACACTTATTGGAAGACTTTCAAATTTTGATAAAGATATGGATATCGACAGACGGGCAATTGATGAGACAAACCGGCAATTTTCTAAAGACAATTCTGACAAGAAGATTTTAAATGCACAGTTTAAGAAAATGTAAAATCTTTTTTATTTAATTATTGGGGAGATGGGATCATCCCGAAATCACGTCCCCGCTTTCCGCGAAATTACTTTAAAATTAAAAGGAATATTTATTTTTTAAGTAGAAAATCTCTTCAATTAGAAAATCCTGGAAGAAATCAACAAGAAATTGAACAAATTAGTTCTCGTTTAACAAATTATATAAAAATAATTCAACAACCAGAACATCAAAATACTCAAGAAAATAATGATATAGGTGAAGAAAGTGGAGAAGACGAGGAAGATGATATGGAAATGCTTGATGTTTATTTAACTGATAAGGATCCACTTACTAAAAAACCTATTCGAGAACCTGTTAAGAATCCGGTTAGTTTGGTGTTTTTAATTATGAGCTAATTAGGTAAAATTAGAAATGGGAGCCTGGGTATTTGAAATTTACTTGAAATTAAAAAAAATAGCGAAAAATATTAAGTTAAGGAGTTGATTAAGGAAAAATTTTACATAAATTTACTTAACCTGTTCTTTTTTACTTTTTCCTGATTCCAGATTTGTGGACATGTTTACGACCGTGAATCGGTGGAAGAACATATTAAATTTCAAAAGAGCCGTCGTCAACTTTACCAATGTCCAGTCCAAAGATGTACAAACATGCAATTATTAAAGATGGAGGTTTTATATATTTTTGCAAAATATTTTTAATTTTTTACTAATTTCAGCAGTTAATGCCTTTTCCTGAATTCTTTCAACTTGTACGCCGTGCTCGTAGTCGTTCACGTGCACGCAGCCGATCTCGAGGAGCTAATTTATCGCGTCAATCATGTTCTAATTCAAATATTGAGGATGATGAAGTTATTGCGAAATCTCCGTAAAATTGTTTAAAATCATTTTATCGAATAAAAACTTAAATATACAAAACATTTAGGAGTTGTTTTATGGTACTATGCGTTTATATGCCCACACGTCCGCAAATGTTTGTCCGCACATTTTTCCTTTTCCTTCTCCTTTCTCCTCTCACAAGGATTAGAAATGGTCAAGTATTAATATACCCTATTTTCTTTGTCTTCTCCTTCTTTTCTCCTCTCATTTAGATTAAAATGGTCAAGTAATGATAGAGGTAAGAATTTGGCACTCTTCACTTATATACATATGCCCTTTTTTCTCCAGGTCGAAATATTATGGTGTCATTCGAAACAGCTCGGAAAGCTTAGTCAAACTAGTTGTGCTCGAAGAAGGTCCGGTTTGGTGTGAAAATCGAAAATGCAAGCGATAGCTCATTTTATTAAACTCGTCGAGCTCTGTCGATAACACCAAAATCAGATTTATTCAATGTTTTTAAACAAAATTATAACCAACTGAATTTTTCCTGCAATCACCTCGAAATAATTTCTAATCATTGTTTTATTTTTACTTTACCATTTTAATCTAAATGAGAGGAGAAAAGAAGGAGAAGACAAAGAAAATGGGGGTTTATTAATACCTGACCATTTCTAATCCTTGTGAGGAGAAGGAAAAGGAAAAATGTGCGGACAAAATTTGCGGACGTGTGGGCATATAAACGCATAGTACCTGTTTTATTTATTATTGCCACTCTTCATTCAAGTTAGATGCCTCGCTCTCATAGTTACTTCATCCCATGGTCCGTGAATCGTACTTAAAATTATTAAAAGTATTATTCCTTTATAAATAACTTTTTAACCTCTTCCATTGTTGCATTCTAACTAACAATTTAGGGCATAATCCGACCAATAAAAAATGTAAAATTAAATGGATAAATGCTAGAATTTTGTTTAATACAAACAAAACCCCTATAGAAATAACTGTCAATATTGGCAATAAAATAAAAATTGTGTTGGGTGATTGTGAAAGTAAAACTTGAAATTTAAAAAAATTAATTGTAAGTAAAGAAAACCCTTTAATTAACCATTTCTAAGTTGTGGCCAAAAACAAAATAGTAAAAGAGATAGTCCCAATAAAAGAAAAGCAAGTAGATCGCAGTTAACTCGAGAAATTAAGAAAACAGATGCTGACAAACAAATATTAACAGACAAAGCAGTTGAGACACTGAAGACTTTTTTTGTTGAATTTTTTAATTAAAAAACTCGCATTGGGGCAAATTCCATTCCATAATCGTGTACAAAAAGGCTAACAAAGAAAAGAATAATTGCACTAGCCCAAATAGTGTCAGTACTGATTGTTGTGGTTAAAGTTCTTAAGATAAATTTAAAGTTTAACAAATAAACAAAAAAATAAAAGAAAACCTTATTACGGGAGTAAATGCATAACCAAAAGTAAAAATTGTAAATAATGTTTGCCAATGATTTTTTAAATTAATGTAAAAACATCTATAGAAGGTTACGAGAGACAAAAGAACGAAACAAATGATTAAATTGATCAACAAAATTGTTTTACTGCCACAAAATTCTAATCGACAAAATTCGAAAATAACTGAAAAATTTAAGTGTTAAATACAAAAATAAGAAAAAACTTGCCCAAATAAATAACAACCAAATTAACTTGTGACATAACTATTGCACCACCACGTATCGATTCAATAATCGAATACTTGACAACATTAACTTAAATATTTATTTAATTTAAAATTTACATTTAAAATTAACCATTTGTGCGTAACTGATCAAGAAATAATGCGTCATCTGTGTAATTATCTGGAAATGGTTGGTGTTTGTAGAGAACCTTCTCCCATTTGATAAATTGCTGGCTTGGGGAATTTAATTGTTTATTTATTGAAAGTAACTTTCTTGAAGCAAACCTAGTTGTTACCATTCTTTATTGCAGATTTTGTTAATTATATAATGCACATAATTAAAAATGTATCAAAATTTCAATTTCCTTTCAAAATTTATAAATCGATTTCGTTTAAAAAATTATAAAAAATTTATTTAAAAAATATACAATTTAACCCTTTGGCTTCTTAGAACTTATCAAATCACGGAATTGTTTCAAAACGGTCTCTTCCTTCTTATTTCTCTGATCAATCGAAAATGTCTTCAATAAACGTTTTTCTTCTGCTGTGAGAATCTAAACAAAATTAACTAATTAAATCGTTTAAAAATATTTACTTGATTTTCTTTTCGCAGTCGAGTAGCTTCCATAGCTTTATGTCGAGTACCGCTCATTACATATCCAGCAACTTCGAAAACAGCAATTTCTTCAGAAGTAAGGCCAATCTCTCCTCTTCTCGGAATTCTTTTTCCCTGAGCAGCATACGCTGCCATCGCTGCTGCTTCTCCCCTCAACATATTTGTCCGAGCACTTAAGGATTTTATTTAAATTTAAATAAAAATTAAAATAACTAACGCTGCATCTAATCTTATATCACTTGAAGCAGCTGCAGGATTTAATTTTTGTTGAATATGTTCAGGAATGGAAGGTCCAACTATAGCAGCCTCCTCCTTTTTAGTTTGTGCTACTTGCATTTCCTTTGTTACTTCAACCCAAACATCACCTTTCTCATCTTTATGGTGTCCAGGCTCTTCGTCACTACTATAAATATAAAAACTTAATAAATGATAATTAATATTTTAACCAACCTCTCTCTCCTCTGTCGCTTCTTCCGTTTATTGTTTTTGTCTTTTTTCTTTCTTCTCCGATCACTATCCTTCTTTTTATGTTTTTTGTTCTTTTTGTGTTTCTTTTTATGCTTCACAACTCCATCATCAGATTCATCTGTATTTTCATCACCAGATAGGGAAGAACTGGAGGATTCTGAAGATTTTGGCGAACGTTTAATCTTCGATTTGTGTTTCTTCGTTTTCTTGCCTATAACATTATCTTCATCCAAATATTGTCTAAAAAATAAAGTGATTAAATCAATAAAAAAAATTAACCTACTCGTCATATAACTGTTCCAATTCATCATGTGTAGGAGAATATCCCCAAATGCGACGAACTCCAATTTTCCCAAGATGTTCGCGTTCTTCACGTCGACTAAATTAAAATTTAGAGCTATAAACTATTAAAAGAAAACTGTCCCGAATGACACTAAAATATGAACCATAAAAAAGTGTAGGATGCGCAGGTTTTCAGAATACAATAATTCGTCAAATATTCCCATTGTAAAATAATTTCTAGCATACCTACGCCAATAATTGTCTTCAGCAACATTCCGAGCCAGTATAAATTCCTGTGGATCATTTGAATTGCCATTAGTCTGTCGATCATTATCCCGATGAGGTTCATAAGGAAGAGAGTTGGTTCTGTTTCCGTTATTTAATTTATTTTCGTCCAATTCACGGTCGTTACTGAGATATGATACCATCTGAAAATTAAAATATCAAATACAAAAATTTTAACGGAAATAAGAAAAAAATTGACCATTTTGTGTAAATTTTCATTTTATTCCGAACAAAAACGTTATGACAAAATGAGTGCCAAATCGCAAATTTTGAATTTGAATTAGAGGAGTTTGAGTACATAAATTTAACACTTGAGTAACTTCATAAATATTTAATTTCTAATAATTTTTTGTATTTATTCATTTCCTCAAAGATAAAACTATCGATAAAATTTTCAGATATATACTTGTCATGGAATTAAAATCAGAACCTAAAATGAACGAATCGGCTAAATCTAAAGTATTTAATGGAGTTACTATATCATTCGCAGGATTAACTGAGGAAAGCCAGGTTTATTTTAATTGGATTTTAGATTAAATATAAATTTAGTTTGAGTTAATAAAACTTTTAACCGAGATGGGCGGAGATTGTAGATTAGAGGTTGATGAGAATGTTAATTACCTAATTGCTGAAATTATTGATAATAAATTGGAAAATTATATCGTTTGTTTAATTATATATTTTTAAATTAAATATGTGAGTAATTTATTTAGGCGGCACGGCGACTCAAAATTCCTGTTCTTATTCCGCGTTGGATTCAAGATGCATATTCAAACACAAATTCAATAGTGGACTTTTTGACTGAAGAATCTCGAGAAAACTACAGGACTCCGATATTCGCTGGCTGCGTAATTATTGATTAGTTATATCTAATTGTCTCCATTTTTGCAGGAAATTACCATTTCCGGCTTCGCTGGTAATGAACGAATAGAGATTGGCCGTTTGATTGAAATGAATGGTGGTATTTTCATTGGACAAATGTTTAAGTCAAGCTGTACTCATTTAATAACTGCCAATGATTCTGGAGAAAAGTTTCGTCGAGCAAAAGATTGGAAAACTATTTACATTGTCACTGTAGAATGGCTTAGAAAATCAATTGAACATGTATATACTTGTTTAAATTATAAATATTTAATATTATTTTAAGAAATTCCGTCTTGATGAGCTTGAATTTTCTTTTGAACCGAAAAGTGAAGTTGAAAATTCTCCCCTTGCTATAAAAAAGCAATCACAAAATTATGAAAACTTTGAACCCACAAACAAAGAACTTTTTGAAACAGAAGGCAATCAGTTTGAACCAGTATGTCAGGTTAAAAATGCACCCCCTGATTCACTACACAATGATGAATCTACTAAAAATAAACCTATTGAATCTACAGGAAGTTTCTTTGAGCAGATATACAAAGCTGAGAATATATCTGCAGTTCGGATATTCGACAATCCTAAAGAAGTTGAACCTGCCCAAAATGAACGTAATGAAACAAACGAGGAAATGGTATCAGTTAAATCATTTGACATTATTAATATGTTTAGATCTGTCATATGGATTTGAAAGCAGAACTTGAAAGTAACGAATCGGCTAAATCTAAAGTATTCAATGGAGTTACTATATCATTTTCAGGACTAACCAAGGAAAAACTGGTTTATTTTAATTGGATTTTAGATAAATATAAATTTAGGATGAGTTAACAAAACTTTTACTCGAGATGGGCGGAGATTGTAAACTTGAGGTTGATGAGAATGTTAATTATCTAATTGCTGAACGTTGTGATAATAAATCAGAAAATTATATCGTTTGTTTAATGGATGTATTTTAAATTAAATAATATATTTAGGCGGCACGGCGACTCAAAATTCCTGTTCTTATTCCGCGTTGGATTCTAGATTCGCACTCGAGTAAGGATTCAATGATTGATGTTTTCAGTGAAGAATATCTTGAAAACTACAGGATTCCGATATTCTCTGGCTGCGTAATTATTGATTAGTTATATATAGATGTCCATTTTTGTAGGAAATTTCTATTTCTGGCTACACTGGTAGTGACCGACAGGAGATAGGTCGTTTGATTGAAATGAATGGAGGGATATTCTCTGGCCAAATGAACAGATCAAGTTGTACTCATCTAATAACTGCCAATAATTCTGGAGAAAAGTTTCGTCGCGCAAAAAAGTGGAAGAATATTTATATTGTTAACTTGGAATGGCTTAAAAAATCTGCTGAACAAGTAAGAGATTTGTTAAAGTTATAGATATATAATATTTTATTTCAGAAAGTTCGTCTTGATGAGATTGAATTTTCTTTTGAACCGATTTGTAAGGTCGAAAATGCACCAACTGTTGATATGTTACAACCTTCAAAAAATGCTGCAGGCAGTGATTTAGAACCGATATGTCAGGTTGAAAATCTACCACCAGTCGAGTCTCTGCATAATGAAGAAATAGTTGAATCTACTAAAAATAAACCTATTGAATCTACAGGCAATGATTTAGAACCGATATGTCAGGTTGAAAATGCACCAACTGTTGATGTGTTACAACTTACAAAAGATGGACCTATTAAATCTACGGGCAATGCTGTAGAACCGGTGTGTCAGGTTGAAAATGCATCACCAGATAAGTCGCTGCACAATGAAGAAATAGTTGAATCGACTAAAAATAAACCTGCCGATTCTACAGTCAATGATTTTGAGCAGATACATAAAGCCGTAGATACATCTACCGTTGAGAAATTTCACAATCTTAAAGTAATTGAACCTACTACACAAAATGAACATATTGAAGAGATTAACAACGATGAGATGGTAGAGATGGTATTTCAGTTATATCATTTGATAGTATTTTAATATAAGTTTAGATCCATAATGAGGAATTGAGAGCGGAACCTAAAATGAACGAATCAGTTAAATCTAAAGCATTCGGTGGAGTTACGATATCGTTCGCAGGATTGAGACGGGAAAGCCAGGTTTATTTGCAATTTAACTCCTGAAAAATATAAATTTAGGATGAGTTAACAAAACTTTTACTCGAGATGGGCGGAGATTGTAGATTAGAGGTTGATGAGAATGTTAATTATCTAATTGCTGAACGTTGTGATAATAAATCAGAAAATTATATTGTTTGTTTAATTTATATTTCTAATTAAATAATATATTTAGGCGGCACGGCGACTCAAAATTCCTGTTCTTATTCCGCGGTGGATTCAGGATGCTCACTCAAGCATAGAATCAATGGGGGATTTTTTGAGTGAGGAATCTATTGACAACTACAGGACTCCGATATTTTCTGGCTGTGTAACTATTAATTAGTTATATCTAATTAACTATTCATTATTTGCAGGAAATTACCATTTCTGGCTTCACTAGCAATGAGCGAGTTGGGATGGGACGTCTGATTGAGTTGCATGGTGGAAAGTTCTCTGGTCAAATGAACAAATTAAGCTGTACCCATTTAATAACTGCCAATAATTCTGGAGAAAAGTTTCGTCGAGCAAAAGAGTGGCAAAGCATTTACATTGTTAACGATAAATGGCTCAGAAAATCTATTGAATATGTAAGAGTTTTGTTTAACCTTTAAATATTTATTCAACATTCTATTTCAGAAAGTTCGTCTTAATGAATTAAGATTTCCTGCTGCTGGAGATAAATAATTTACTGAAAATTTATTGAAAATTAAATTGGAAATTTATTTTATTTATTGCTTTAAATACTTACAAATAATAAATTTTTTAATTGAACATTAATAGATTACTTGTTTTCTACAAGAATTTATTTTAATTTCTAATTTTCCTTATTTCGTGTTATAATTTGTATTCTTTTCATGAATTCATTTTGGCGCTATATTTTGACAAAGTTTTGAATTAAATTCGAAATTTAATATTTTTTTAATTTTTAGTTAAATAACAATAATTAACTACCATGCCAGTTGTGAATGTTTGTACTACAATGACATCAGAGAATGTTTCGCATTCTGAACTTCTTGTTTGGGTAAATAATTGTTTGCAGGTTGTTTTTTTTTTTTTGTTTTTATTTTTAATTTATTTTCTTTCCAGACCAATCTTGTGAAAGTAGAAGATATGGCTTCTGGTGCTGCTTACTGCCAACTTACTGACATTCTTTTTCCAAAACATGTTCCACTTACAAATGTTATTTTTAAATAAAATTTCATCAAATTAAAATTATTTAAGATCAACTGGAATAGTCAACAAGAAGTTGACTGGATTACTAATTGGGAAATTTTGGAGACTTGTTGGAAGGATATTGGAATTGATAAGGTTTAAAATAATTTTAGTTTAAATTTTTTGAAATATATTTTTAAGAAAATTCCAATTGAAAGTTTAATGAGTGCAAAGTTTGAGGACAATTTTGAATTTCTCCAATGGTTCAAGAAATTTTTTGATGCAAATTATGATGGACATAAATATGATCCGATTGCAGCACGGAATAATCAGGTTTATTTAAATTACTCAATAATATTTAAAATTATTTTTTAGCCTCTCGGAAACTGTTCTGATGATGAAATTGTTTCTGAAAATGAGAAGAAAACACCTGAAATGATTGCTGTAAAGTCTGCTAGTACTCCAGCAATCACTAAACTTAAACAAATGCGCAAACAATTCCATGTTTTTTTTATTTTATTTTCAATTAATTATTTTAAAAATAGGTTTCCTCTCCATCTGACCAATTAATGTCTCCATGCACTCGAACTCTGGAGAAGAGCCGTTTTGAAGGTAAAAGTTTAGTTATTTTTAAAAATTAGATTTTCGTTCTTAAGTTGGACCTAAATTTAAGTTGGACAAAAATGACTGATAATAAGTAAATTAAAAAATGAAAGGCAACATTGTGTAAAATTTACATTTTTTAAAAATAATTTCATTTTATTATTTTTAATTTTAAATTATTCTTTTTAAAAAATTAAATTACTAAATTCCCTTTTTGGATTTTTAAATAATTTTGTTGAAAAATTAAATATTTTAAAAATAGATTTTTCAGAATTTAAAATTAATTTTATCATAAAATGGAATGATTAAAAATTTCCCATCTTCCTTTGTATTTGTTAAGTTTTATAAAAAATACAAAACACAAATGTTAATTTAAGATTCTGAAAAATTTTAAATTCTGAAATTACAAAAAATAAAATGACTGGTAAACAAATTT